CCTTTGTCTCCACAGTGGTGATGTTTTACACTGCGTTAGTAACTCCGGTTAGCATGGCTGGCTGCTGTATTGTGCGAAGGAAGCTGAGCGCACGTACAACTCGCTTAAGGCCGTCAGCCTAAGGGGGGCCCGGACCTGTTCAGATGTTCCTCACTGATGTTGGCCTTAAGTGGGAATTTAACCGTGGCCACTGGGTTCATAGTGCAGTGTGCCAACCACTGTGTTGTGGGTCACGCCCATTACCTCCCGCAACTGCCGAGGAGGAACCAACCTAGCGGGAAGGGGGAGCAGCCAACGGTTGCCCGAGCTCTGCACTTCTCTATACATCGAGGCGTTTTTCGGCCAGTTGACGACGGGCTTTATTCCTCTGCTTGTGCGCGCGCCGGTGGCAGCCTGCACGAGCTGGTGCGGCACGGGGAGAACGGACTCGTCTTCTCAGACTCGCGGGAACTCGCCCAGCAGCTGGAGGTGACGCGCGGCAAACACTGGGGAGCGGGCGGGGGGGCCCTCTGTTCCGCTCGCACGGCAACGCCCCCAGAGGCCTTTTGTCAGGTGGCCCAGGCAGCACGCGGTCGCCGCTGCACGGTGCCATCTCTTGAGGTTTCACACAGGGGACCTTTGTCTTCGCTGTCGCTTGCGTGCAGATGCTGTTGGCCGGGCCTGCCGATCAACGGCACCAGCTGGCTCGTTTCCGCGCCCGCCTGCGCGTCTGGCAGCAGCAGCGGTGGCGCGAGAACTGGACGCGGGTGGTCCTGCCCGTGCTGCTGGTGCCGTGATGTCCGGTGCTGCAATGGCAGCGTTCCGACTGCGCTAGGTTCCGGCTACGCCGCGTTCGGGAACACCCCTGCCGTCGCCTGCCAAAGTCCAGCACAAGCCCCTCCATCGCATCGTCTCTCCGTCGCACCGACGAGTTTATCCCAGGGGTGCTGCGGGACGACTGGCATGCAAAGAGAGGCTCACGTCGTGGTTTCAAGAAGCGGAGAAGTTGGATTGGGTCCACTGGTGATGTCCAATGGACCAATGACAACTGACGGAGCAGCGAGCGTTCAATGGAACTGGCAAAGTTGGGGGGGTCCCGTGACGGCAGTAGGATTGTGCCGAATGGCCGGGTGTTTTATCAGGATGCACAACTCTGATCCTGCACAGTGGCGATGGGGGACCCGTTGGTGCCGAGTCACGTCTACACCTGCGGGCCGGTTCCTCTTCCGTTCTTCGTGGTACATCAGGTCTTGACCGTTAATGCGTAAATACATGTTAGTTTACGGTTGCCAATATTGTGTGTTCCTGCACTAAATGGGTTCGGGTTATAAAGGAGAGGCTCATACCTCCAAACAGCCAGCAGCAAGCAATCCACGATCGCTGACCCGGCCACACGACGTTGAAACCCGCCCAAGACTTACCGCTTAAAAAGCAAATGCCGATGGAATATTGGTGCTCAATGATGGACTTCATTGTGGTGGAACCGCCCCATGTTATTATTTATAAATACTGTACAGTAGCCATGATGTTGTTACACTATTGTAAAATACAGCAGAATGTGAACCTTGGAACATTGAGTGTCCAGTTACAAGTCTTCCTGCGAGCTCTTTGTGCTGGTCGAGGCAAGGCCGAGACCCCACGCATCCAACCCCCATATCGATTGTGACCGAGTCAAACCAGTCAGATCATCGTCTGACCTGGGCCACTTAATTTGTTAAATGGAAAAGCGTGAATAAGGCAGGGCTTTCCACTCTTAAGACTTTTCTCGTCTGTGAAACCAAACCCACCGCGAGGCACATCTCATGCCCATTAACTCCATGGCGCCTGTAATGAATTTGTGATTATGTGTGTGACATTGATGGCCATTGGTAACTGAAACTGATCTGGACCTCCTCGAAGTAAACAAACAGTCGCGAGTATGATTGATAGACTTGCCCCTGCCAGAGAAATGTGGAATTGACACTCCGGACTCGGATGGATGTGAACGGATGTAGCAACCACCTCGGAGTTGCTTTGAGCAGAACATCGCTGCGATGCTCGTGCGAGGAGTCTGCCGTGTGACGGGGACAAGGGCCCAGGATCGTTGGCATTATTTTTTTAAATCTGACATTTTTTTCGCATATTTGACAAAAGCCTGAACACTCAATGATTAAAAAGGCTCTTAGAAACCCAAATTAGGGACTGAAATTGGTTAATCAATTTCATGTTGCGGATACATTTAATTACATTGATGGAAGTAATTCTCATGGCTCACATCGTCCTGAATGGTTTTCATCTAGGTTTCTCAGAAACATGGGTAGTGGCTGAACAACAATAGCTGAGTCGTAGAGAATCTCTTGCAGGAGGGTCCTGCATTTTTTTCATATCTTTTCAGCCAATCATTGTCCAGTCAGGTGGGAGGAAACCGGAAACACTCGGAGAATACTCACGCGCACGAGGGGCCAACGCTCCACCTCCGTACAGATGGAAACCGATGGCAATTAGTCCACTTGTACCGCCTTATGCTGGCGAGCCAGGGTACGGCACCTCATCGACGCCCACGAGAAGGGGGTTTCGCATCATCTGTGCGGTGATCTACCAACTCTCACTGTTGCCTCCGGAGTGCAGGATTACAGGCTGCCACGTGCATAGCCACCACTGCCCGGCGTATCCACTCGCTCGATGACAAATCCCCCCCCCCCCTCCCTGCCGTGTTCGATTTTGGGGTTGTCCAACCACACCTCACGTATGCGAGTGAGACGAGAGCCCAAGGACGAGTCCGGGACGTGGGCAGGAACCGTGGCCGCGACTCACAAGGTGGCCGGATTCATAGCACAATGCGCCCATGCACTGTGCCACCGGCTCCACCCCAGGTGGGCGCTTTCAGGTGTTGAAGAGACAAATTTCAAGTTTAAATAATGAAACACGATTTTCGCGGCCAATTTTTAAAGCTGAAAATGTACCATCGTTTTAGATCGATTATCCCAGCATGGCAGTTCTAACGATGGTGCGCCTCAAATTCAACATTCCGCTCCCCAGCAGCCTCCTACCACCACCCAGCAATGTGTACACCAAGAGTCGATCGGCAAGTCACGTGTGGTGGGGTGTCGCGTAGGTCCTCCCAGCTCTGGCCAGTGTGGAAGAATAGATAAAAAATACTGTCGGGGCTTCGGCAGAGCTTTTCGTGGAGGTCCGTCCACAAAGTAGTGTTTTAACAATCGCAGGCAGAGCAGCTCAGGGGTTCTTAGAGGCCCACTTTGAGGCCCTCTTTTGTGCGAGTCGTGGGCAAATTATCACTTCCCTTCCCCCCTCCTCTTTTTCACCCTGTCCCCCACCCCTCCGATCCACGCTGGGCTACACCTTTACCCAAACCTGACAGTTTAATCCGACACTCGGATCGTCGCCGTCTCCTGCCAGCAGCAGAACAAACACTCGGCTCTTTCGCTCGTCACCACCGTACATCTTTACGACAAGTTTATTAGAGAAATGTCACAGCTACAACGGGAACAGCAGCAGCAGCAGCAGAAACCCATAAGGCATGGGGCAAGGGAGGCCTTTTTCCTTGCCGAGGGATAAACTGGACTTTCAAATTACCTTTGGCGGGCAATGATAAATGAACATACAGCTTGGCTCTACCATATAATAACACATTTTGTACGTGTTGACCAAGTACAAGAGGCTCTTGACAAGCGACTCGGCGAACTTACACCATTAGAAACGCGAGCGTTGTCATGTTGAAAATGCTCCTTACCCCCAGTGCCCGATGAGCGCGGCGGAGATGCTCGCGACGGTGGGTGAATGTCATTTGCGGGTGCTGGTTTGGAAGGGGTTGGCCTCAAGTGGCCGCGGTGGTCGTGTGAAATGGAAGTCTCGGGTCGCGTCCGGCAAACGAACATGTGCTAAACTCATTTTCAGTGGAGTGGGCCCGCTTTCGCCGATGAGACATCATCAGTGCGAGGGCCGCCACACCATCTGAAACCATTGGGGGTTGGACAACAGCACGATGATGGGGGGTGTTCTCGCCGTTTGTGTATTGTCAGGGGGCCGCGTGTCAGTGGCCCGCCATGGCCTTGCAATGAAGAACACGAATACACACTCGCGTTTAATATGGCAACGTTCGTCCATGTGCTCACACGAGCGTGGGCCCATCATTCTAGGTGGAAATTCCACATTACTATGCCGGGGACCAGAATAACCATAGGAGGAAGGGATGAGAAGCCGAGTCGCGCCTTGACCAGGATTTGAACTTGCGGCCCTAATCGTTGCTTTGCATGAATTGTTATTATTGTGAGCCCCTTTATTTACAGAGGCATTATTCTGTGTTCTGTGCACGTTTGGACGGTTTCCTTCGGAATTATCCTGAACATGGGAGGACACCAGAGGACCCAGAGAAACCCCACGCACCACGAGGGGGAGGGGGATAACACCGGCACAGTCATCGAACAAAGACGGCATGCCGCATCGCGCGCTTTCAGAGGCGCTTCTGCCGCCGTCTGGAACGCTCTTCCGATATTGGGATGCCCTGCACTTCTAAATAACCTAGATTGAAAACTCATTTCTCTTTGCAACTGCTCTTTGTCTTTAGTTTGTCGTCCTTCCCCCACCCCCCCCCCTCCGCACCTCCGATGAGCGCGGTTGGCTGCGTACGGTGCGGAAGAAGTTCGACGCACCGTGCACACAAGAGGCGCGCAGTGCCTGGGCGTGGCGCTCCGGTGTTGGAACCCGCGCGTGCGCCGCAAAAGCTGCGGCGGCCATCCCACGGGACGGGTTCCACGGGATTTGTACAACGGGGAAAATCGGCAACGGTAAGCGGGGAAAACGTATAAAGTCGCCGCTCGACGTTTCGGGCGAGCGGCCTAGCTGCGCATACTCCTTTTGTAGAATAACCACATTTCAATACAATGTTACGTTTTTATATATGCATATAATATGTAGCGAGGACGTTTAAACTTAACGTTAACAAAAAAAACTCCTATTAGGTTGACAAAAGTATAAAATAAATCTAAATAATATCTCTCGGGCACCTGTGCCTTGACACGCACACGCAGCGCAGCCCGGCCACGGACGGGAATAATTCCAGCTGCTGGAGACCGGGGGCGGAGGCTTCTCCGGGGTTTTCATGATGTGCCGCCATAAAGTCCGACGTTTTGCTGAAGAGGCCTCTTCAGGATGCTAAGAAAGCTGCCAGAAGGTTGGGCGACGAAACGACGGGGGGGGGGGGGGGTGACGGCCGCGCTGCCGCTTCCGTGCCGCTGGTCGGCGCGTAAGCGGCAGCGTCGTTCTCGCCCAACTGAACCACTCGCAAAGGAGACGCGCGTGCGCGTGTGCGCGTTGGGATAAATATTGGAAGAATCTATGCACACGGACGGTCTTCCTTCACGATACTCGGCGTGCGTGCGTGCGTGCAACGGCAAAGGGGACCCGAGGAACACGTTTCATTCTCTTATTGCAAGACGCACGCATCGTTAAATACCACCAACGGGTTCAAAGCCCTACGGTCGCTCGGAAGCAGAGATTCCACACTCCAGTACTTGCGGACCAGCACGGGCTCCAGCCAACGCCCCCACCCCCACCTCACACACCACCAGAGCTTTGTCTGCACGTGAAACGGCACTCTCCACATTACGTGGGCTGCACACGTATATACACACGAAAAGACAAAGGTCCCCCGTGTAGATTACAAGAGCTGTTGGGGCAAGTGCTCTGAGCGAGTAACTATTTAGGTCGGCATGGCACGTGAGTTGGGTGGGGGGGGGGAAGGGGGGGGGGCGTTGCCAGCACCACGCCCGGCCGCCTTTGTCTCCCCAGTGCTGAGTCAACCTAAGCGAGGCTCAGGGCGGACTGCAAGGACTGGAGTTTTGTCTCGTTATCGTGTGCGTATGTTACAGTATATATTAACCAATTATAAACATTTAAAAACCTGTCGACGTCAGGATGGAAATGAAGGTCCTGTGAGCTACAACCACTAACGATGACGATGACGTTGCCGACTGTGATCCTCATGACTAGGCATGTATTCCCTCCCACACCCCTCCTTCGCGATTCATGATCTCAATTCAAGGTCACGGATCGATTAAACTATCAACTTATCCTCCTGCTCGTTTCTATCGCCCGTCATTTTCGCGATGTCTGTCTCGTCCGTCCTGTCCGTGCCATTTGTCCTGCGCGCACGGCTTCTTAACCTGTCGCCAAATATGTTTTTCCAAGTCGCTGCTCGACTGGTGTGGGCATCACGTGACTAGCAGTCGCCACGGCCATAGTGACATGTCGACCGGATGCGGTGTGCCGGGCGAATTCAATATTTTCCGGACCGCCGACTTGGGACAAGCGCAGCCGAAATGACTCCCTGCTTGAATGTACGATCTGTCCCGTCTAATTTTGCTGCGGTCGTTTTTCCCCTCCAAAATCTTATCCCGAATGCACATTCGTCATCGTGTCACGAGACAGAGAATCCATTGGAATTTCTCCCAGAGTGGTGCAACCTTCCGTGTTAGAAAACGCCCCGTGGAAGCGGCCATCACAGAGCTACCTCCGAGACCCATGCTCCACGCCGACCTCTGGTCCACACAGCAGAGATGACGGAACTTCCCCCGTTTCTTTCGGAGGCTCGTCTATCCTGTCTGCATCCGACGCTGCGTCACGTCCGTTCCGTTAGCGCGGGACAAAAATTTCCTACAATTTCTATAACAATTTGCATAAGTTGTCGGCAATCGATTCTCCTGCGCACGAGTGCGTCGTGGGCGTAAGAACCGATTCCAATTAACGGGTCGATGAATGGCTACATGCGTAGTAATAACCGGATCACAATGATGATGACGACAACGATGAAGACGACAACGACGACGACGCTGATGATGTCACTGCAGATTGCTGGAGCCACGTGTCCCCACAGGTCGACCCCCGGCCGCCGACACCTGCATCCCCTCCAGCAGCGGCAGAATCATCTGTCCAAATGGGCTGCGCACCAACAAAACAACAACGAAAGGTGAACACAGATGCAAAGATCCCCCACACTTAGCCTCTTCATAGACCCTTGCGTAGCAAGCGCTGTTAGCGAGCAGCAATGAAGGCCAGCACGGCACCAGAACTGTGCCTGGCCGTTTTGATCTCCCCCAGTACGCCGATGTTCGCACACTGCACTGGGTACTCGTCAAAGGCCGAAATGAACCTAGGGGACGGCCTCGGACCGGGTCACATTCGTCACCGATGTTGGCCAAGAGCGTAACACCCCAACGACCGCTGCGTGTGCATATACATGCGTGGAGAGGTTCCGCACCGCTCGTACGGATTAGAGGCAGGCGGAGGGACCTCAAAAGTAGTCCCGTGGCATCGCCTTGCAGAGGGGCGCCATCTAAACACGGAGTGATTCGCTGCTTTCTGCGCGAGTTTCCAATCGACAATTCCTCGTCTCGCAACAACGTGACATCCACAGCACAACTGTAAAGTAATGGGAGAGTAAAAATACTCACTTACGAAACCAACTTCGATTAACCAACTTCAACTAACTGGGGTAACATGGGGGATAATTAATGTTAGACGTAGTGTATAGGGCTCTGGCAGCATGTTTATTGTTCGCCTACGTAGCACGCGCCTGTGTGTGGATTACTTCGTAGAGCAATCGGTTCGCGTGCCGACGAGCTCGCGGTCACCTGGGCACCGAGTCGCCGACCCTCAACGAGTGAGGAGCAGCCGACAGTCAAACCGGCGTGCGCCGGTTCATCCGAAACCCGGATAATCCGTCCATGGATAACCGAGAGCTGACTGGAGCAATTTTAATAATCTAGGATTGTATCCCAATACTCTTTTGTTTACTGGACGGTTCAGCTTAACAACAAACCCCACACGCAAGAGGTCATTACGATCGATAAACCAATTCTGATTTGACCAATAATTTTTAGGTCATAAAACCCTCCACCACCTGCCGTAGCGACGACTAAAAAAAAAAAACCGAGCCAGATCGTTACGCGGCCAGACGGCTGCGAAGACCGCCACCGCTCACGGGTGCCGCGGTGCATTTTGACTGCGGCTCCGTGCGACTCACGTGGCTAGCACCTCGTCGGGGAGCTCCGTGATGTGCGCCGGGATGGGGCGGCCGGTGAGGAACTGTGCCACCTCGTTGCTGAACGTGTTGCAGTTGTGCTTGAAGAGGTGGTAGCGCTCACCGCTGCACGCGACGTGGGAGAGTGGGGTGGGGGAGGGGGAGACACGAAAACGTCGCCTCGGACACACGGCGCAACGATAACGCGACAACATCAACGACGCGCGCGCAACTCTGGTACCCGCCCACAAACACTGGTACCCGCCCACAAACACTGGTACCCGCCCACAAACACTGGTACCCGCCCACAAACATTGGTACCCGCCCACAAACACTGGTACCCGCCCACAAACACTGGTACCCGCCCACAAACACTGGTACCCGCCCACAAACACTGGTACCCGCCTACAAACACTGGTACCCGCCCACAAACACTGGTACCCGCCCACAAACACTGGTACCCGCCCACAAACACTGGTACCCGCCCACAAACACTGGTACCCGCCCACAAACACTGGTAACCGCCCACAAACACTGGTACCCGCCCACAAACACTGGTACCTGCCCACAAACACTGGTACTCGCCCACAAACACTGGTAACCGCCCACAAACACTGGTACCCGCCCACAAACACTTGTACTCGCCCACAAACACTGGTACCCGCCCACAAACACTGGTACCCGCCCACAAACACTGGTACCCGCCCACAAACACTGGTACCCGCCCACAAACACTGGTATCCGCCCACAAACACTGGTACTCGCCCACAAACACTGGTACCCGCCCACAAACACTCGCGCAGGACGCTGGTGAATGCGCCACACTGGCACGCACTCTCTAGACAGTCGCACAGCGACCGGCTGCGTGGGGACGATTCGGTATTTCGCGGGGAGGAACCCTGGGTGGCTCAGAATTCAGAGCGACCCTCGAACCTGTGACAATGTTTTGAGGATTTGGCTGCGATAAATTTACACGTGATGATATGCCACTCCGTTGAGCTACCATTTGTGGCCAGGTCACTTCTGAAAACGAGCTAAATAGCTCAGTGGGCCTTCAATGGCGCTGCTGCAGGGTGGGACCGGGAGATGTCTTCTTCTGCGAAGTGTTTCTGAGCGCCCCTTGGTATCTGCTATCCCCAGGGTGGTCTTGCATTGCTCTGCAGCACCGTTCTTCTTCATTACAAAGTCCCGCGGGCCACCGGCGGTGCCCGGTGGTGGCCTTGAATGTGGCCCAAAACGTGCGGTCCCCCGAAAATACACAATTCACGGAATCGCCGGGCGTGGGGGCAGCTGGCGTTCTAATCGGTTGCGTGGTTCGCGGAGAGCGTTGTGGGGGCTGACCAACGTGAGGAAGCACTCGTTCCCGCGCGTGTCGGGGAGGGGAGGGGAATCGTGCCGGGCGTCGCGCTCACTTGAACGCGTCCTCGCCGAGCCCCGACAGGTACTCCAGGAAGATGTCTTCCGTCACCTGCGTCTGTCCCAGCTCCTCCACCGAGTCCGGGGATCCGAGCACCGTTCCTCCCTGCGGCACAGAGGTGGTGCCTATGATGATTATTTAGATTATTTTGCTGCGGTACATTTCCGCGTGATAAGCCACTTTGTCGAGCTATCTTTTGTGGCCTGGTTGCTTCTGAAAAATAAATTAATACCCAAGTGGGCTTTACCTGGTAAGATAAAACATAAATTTTGATTTAAAGCTTTCGTGACTGCAGTAATTCATATTCTTAGCTCTTTCGGTAAAGTCACGTTGAAGGGAAACAATAAAATAAGAAAAAATATATAAAACAATACATACTTCACTTAGAATGGAACTTTCTACAAACAAACTGAGGGCACGCCAATGGGCTCCCCCCTATCTCCGGTTATAGCTAACATTTTCATGGAGAAATTTGAGACTGATGCCATCCAGACTGCCACTCTGCGCCCAACCTTATGGAAGAGGTACGTGGATGACACTTTTGTCATCTGGCCACATGGCCGGCCTGCTCTAGACCAATTCTTCGACCACATCAATTCCATACACCCAGCCATCAGATTTACCATGGAAGTCGAAAAAGATGGCAAGCTACCTTTTTTTTATGTCCTAATAAAAAAGAGACCTGATGGTTCAATGAGCCACTCTGTCTACAGGAAAGCTACCCATACGGATGCTTATCTGAAACCGGATTCCCACCACCATCCATCACAGAAGAATTCTCTCATCAAGACTCTGTACCATAGAGCCCAATACATATCCGACCAGGAACACATAGGCAGTGAACTCAAGCACGTACACCAAGCTCTTAAGGCTAATGGTTACTCCGACTATACAATCCGCAAAGCTATCACTCAAACCATGAAGAAGGACCCTCTTGAGGAGCCTTTCAAAACCATCACTTTACCCTACATTGCGGGGATCACAAAAAAGATCTCCAAAATCTTGAATAAACACAAGATCCAGGTCCGTTTCAACACATTACATAAAATCCGTGATCTGGTTCCGTCTGTAAAAGATGTGATTCCGGACATACAGTACCCTGGTGTCTACAAACTAAGTTGCCTCTGTGGTAGTAGTTACATTGGAGAAACCAAACGCCATGTCTCGGACCGCATTCGTGAACACAAAGCAGACCTTAAACATGGTAGGACCAACACCTCGGCCGTGGCAGATCATTGTTATAATTCAGTAGGCTCACGTGACATTGACTTTTCCAAGACAGAGGTTCTTTGTAAGCCATCTGGCTACCATGAGAGATTCGTTCATGAGGCTATCCACATATACAAGCACAGAGACATTTCAACCGAGAAGATGGATTCTGGCTTAGCAATCATAGGAAAGATTTGATTAACCATTTCAGGTCTTAATTGATTGTTCACGCTTACAGTGGCTTTCAGACAGCATACATTAATTTTTCGTCTCCCCCCTCCTCTTTTCAGAACATAGATGGACTCGTCCTTCTAAATAAACTGCTAAATCACTGCGCGTGGCGCTGACGTTTTTTATAAATAAATAAATACACCGTTTTAAAAAAAATTATGCAAACTGACACACCTGATGACGACCGTTTGTGTTATGGTCGAAACGTCGTGAGAATTTTTATTGTTTTATATATTTTTTATTATTTTATTGTTTCCCTTCAACGTGACTTTACCGAAAGAGCTAAGAATATAAGATAAAACATAGTTTAGTTTGATCTGTATAGATTTTTTAAAGTGATTTATTAACCTTTTCAATACTTTGCACTTCTATTGTATTTTTGTATTGATTGTTGTTGTAATGTTTTGGTCGGCACCTACTGAACATCTACGAAAAATAGCTTTATAGCTCATCGGATTCCTCCAGTGTAAACAAAGATTCTGATTCTGATGAGTGTCAGGGTACGGCCGATGGTTGACCTTGCTGGTGGCGATCCATCGCTGTGGATGACGGCCATGCTGCTGCTAACCCACGCTGCCGGAAAGCTACGCCAGTGGTGGGGGATGGCTGGTGGAGAGCTACGCTAAGTGATTGGTTAACTCGGTGCTGGGCTGTGCCATTGGCAGCCCATGCTAGTGGCGGGCTACACCGATGGCAGGCTATGCTGGTGGCAGGCTTTGCAGGTGGCAGAGTGGTGTGCTCGTGGAAGGCTGTGCTGGTGCTCGACTGAGCTCGGAGCAGTCCATGCTGGGGACAGACCAAGTTGATTATGGGTTACACTGTCAGCTGGCTACACCAGCACACTGTGCTGATGGGGGCCCGCGTGTATGAAGGGCAATGTCACGTCACTCGCACGTTTCTGCGCGTGTGCACAGGCAGCGGTAGTGTAGCGGTAAGCGGGCTGCGCTACGAACACCATGACACGAGTTCGATTCCCGCTCATGGCCAACACCAGTGACGATTTTATAAGACGGTCCTGGGCCTCCTTCCGCAGGTCGAATCAGCCTCAAACGAGTACAGTGTGTAAACATCGCCACTAGAGAGACGAAGGCGGCCGGGCGCGACACTTGCCATCCACCCCTTCGCGTGACGTGCTCACTAGCAGGCACTCGCCCCAACAGTCAGTTCAAGGCTACACGGGAGATCTTTGTCTTTATGTGCGTGGGTGGGTGCGCACGTGCATGTCAGTGGTCTCACCGGCTGGCAGCACTCAATGCCTCCTCCGCCGTAGAAATACTCCTGTCCAAACACCACCACAGCCGTGTGCCTGTCCCATCATGTGCAGAGGACACGGAGCAATGACAAACAATGGTACGGTCCTTATGAGTCGATTCACCAATTATAATCGATTCCTACGCTCGAGATATCGAGCGAGCTCGCACATAAAAAATGTTGTTCTTCACAGGCCCATGCAAAATAAATGTGACATTCAGAATGTCGAAAGCGTGCTGGTAATTATATATATGGGATATGATTTGGCTTATTTCTTGAATAATGAAATCGGCTGCACACGTACATGAAACTGAATGCAGTGTCCCGCCATACCGTGGGAGATCGTCCGACACCACAGTGTTTCATTAATATTTCTCACGGATCAAGAAAAGTGGACACTTTATTTCCGACTCAAAATAGGACAAATTGGTTGAAATACTTGGTTTTTATTAATCATTTATAACCAGCTTCGTCGCGTAATGTGCTATCCACTACACCACCACTCGACCCACACACGTAGATTCTCTCACACGCATACACACACTGAATCATTACAAAGACAAAGATCCCCCATGTAGCCTTAACAGACTGTTTGGGCAAGTGCTGTTAGCGAGCACTAATAAAGGCTGGCACGGCACACGAAGGGGTGGGTGGCCAACACCAAGCCCGGCCACCTTTGTCTCCCAAGTGGCGATGTTTACACACCGAACCAGGTACTAATTTCAGGCCGAGTCGACCTAGGGGAGGCCTAGGTGCCGGTGCAGATAATCGCCAATGGTGTTAGCCGTGAGCGGGAATCGAAATCGGGTTACCGGGTTCGTAGCGCAGCACGCTAACTGCTACACTACCACTCCACACATACACACACGTGCACAGGGTCTGAAGGTAACCTCATCCGAGGCTACCAATATCTGCTGCTTGTTTAGCATGGACAGCAACACGCGCGGGCTGTATCACCCGCGGGTGGTTTTAGATTTTCAGTGCGGAGCGGCACGGTGAGTCTCACGCAGTCAGATGTTCAAACGGAAGAGCAACCCAGTGGTGCAGTTATCGAGGGCGTAGGCAGTGCAACTGCACCGGTGCCCGGAGCTGTAGGGGGGTTGGGAGGTGGGGGAGGGTAGAAGGCAGGTCCTGGGCTATAAAGAATAATGTGGAATTGGAGGTGAAGTTTAATATGGCGAGGTGCATTGAGGTGAGGTGTGGGACACCAACTCACCAAATCCCCTCCAGCTGTTTCCCTAGAGAGGGGAACGAACACGAGCAAAGGCATCAGTGATGCAGCGAAACAAGCAGGAACAATCACAAACACATTCCTGCGGAGGGGGCTGGTAGGAACGTTGGGTTGCTCGGTCAATGGCCAGGGTCAACGGCGGCACCACGTGGTGTATTCCGCAAATATGCCCGACTGTAAGGGCGGGCACAAGCCGGCGTGAGTAAGTTAAACGTTGAGTTTTATAAGGGCACCACGGGGTGACCAGCCCCTCCCCACCCAGCCCCACCCCACCCAGCCCCACCCCACCCAGCCCCACCCCACCCAGCCCCACCCCTCCCACCCCCCACCCAGCCCCGCCCCACCCAGTCCCTCCCTACCCTCCCCTCTCCACCCAGCCCCTCCCATTTTTTATATCCGAATATCCGGATACACGTGGACAGACATCCACAGACATACACAATTAATCCCCTGCCTCCTGTGAGAATTAATCCCGGTTGGGTTTCCAGTCCACTACGTTTCCTACCAGTAATGTCCACTAGGAGCGCATTTGTTATATATCCGGGTGTCCGAATACACATGGACAGACATCCACAGACATACACAATTAATCCCCTGCCTCCTGTGAATTAATCCCGGTTGGGCTTCCAGTCCACTACGTTTCCTACCAGTAAAAACCTATCTTAATTTAACCAGCTAAGGGGCCGTCCATAAATGACGTCACGTGATTTTGGACGATTTTTGACCCCCCCTCGTCACACGGCGTCACAAAAAGTCAGACCCCCCCTCAAATATGACGTCACAAAGCTCTGCCCCCCCCCCAACAAAATATATAAAACACGCTTCAAATTATTGACATTGTAGTGCGTATTTCATGTGGCGCTGCACTCTGATGTTGTAGGAGAAAACATTTATTAAAAAGTCTATTTAATTCAGTAGAACGTGTTGTCTATATTTATTTAAAGTTGCACATTTTGACGTGACGTCACATTTCTCAAACCCCCCCCCACCCCCCTCGTCACACATCGTCACAAATGTCTGACCCCTCCCCCCCCAGGTGCGTGACGTCATTTATGGGCGGCCCCTAAGGCCCCCTGAGCGTCACTCTGTTGCAGAAGCGAGCTGGCCACAAATGATAGCTCAACCAAGCGGCTTATCACGCGGACATTAATGTCAGCAGCCGTATATTCTAAAACCCACGTTTCTAAATGTGTAGGGGGGGAAAAAAACCGGAGGGCCCGAAGGGAAATCCATGCGACCACGGGAGTGAGAGACACGCAAACTCCAATCATACAGCAGGCGTCAAGGTCGCCATCAAACCCAGGACCTCCTGCACACCAGGCGTGGTATTTTAACAACTCGCCACCGCGCGACAAACCTCCACACAACCAATGAAGGGGACGGGGGATCCGGATCGAGAGCTCCTCGCTACACATTTCTGGGAGGCTCAACCAGGCCCCCCCACACACAGTGTGGCATCAACTGCCCCGCCCCCTACTTTTACATAACCACGCCCACTCGCTCAATAGCCCCGCCCACTGCTCGCACCGTGAGTACGAGATACGAGGCAAAGACATTTTATGAATGGGGGGTGGGGGGGGAATGGGGGGTGGGGGGGGAATTGGGGGGTGGGGGGGGAATTGGGGGGTGGGGGGGGGGGAATTGGGGGGTGGGGAGGGGGAATTGGGGGGTGGGGGGGGGAATTGGGGGGTGGGGGGGGGGGAATTGGGGGTGGGGGGGGAATTGGGGGGTGGGGGGGGGGAATTGGGGGGTGGGGAGGGGGAATTGGGGGGTGGGGGGGGAATTGGGGGGTGGGGGGGGGAATTGGGGGGTGGGGGGGAATGGGGGGGTGGAGGGAATGGGGGGGGGGGTGGGGGGAATGGGGGGGGGGGTGGGGGGAATGGGGGGTGGGGGGGAATGGGGGGGGGGGGGAATGGGGGGTGGGAATTTCCGAGTTTTTCGAATGCTTTGGGGCACCGGGACCTTTCTGAAAGCGCGTGGCGCAGTCCCAGGCCAAAGACCAAGGCGTGTATTTGGTAACTTCAGAGTCTGGGGTAAGAGGAACCCATCTCGATAAACACAGGGACCCCCAAAGGCGCTAGGGGACACGAGTCCCATAACCACAGGGGGCCTATCCCAATGAACACCAATACCTTTACACCGTCAACGGGTTCAATAAACACAAGGGGGCCCTATAAACACAGGGAAGTGGCCCTATAAAGACACGGTAGGGACCCTGACCCCCCATTAACACGGGGAACAGGAACCCTCAGTGTCTGCCGTCCTTGTCTTCTCCTGATACTCAAAGTGCTGACCTCAACCAGTGGATTTCGAGTTTATTTGTTTAACCAGGTGAGAACTCCAGCAGGTGCACTATCTGCAAGTGACCTTGATCACCAAAACGTGGAAAATCAAAGTACGGCAATGAAACGAATAGAAAGTGGCAAGAGCAACTGCGTCTCCACGAGACACTGAAAACATTGACTCATCACAGTACAGTATAATTACAATGAAGTTTCAGAAACATGATGCGGGGCGACTATTGTACTAATATGTAAATAAGACGCGGATACACAAGGCGAACGTGCAGCGTTAGTTAATGGGCAATGTTAGGTGATGGGCAATGTTAGTTCATGGGCAATGTTAGGTGATGGGCAATGTTAGTTCATGGGCAATGTTATTGTACTGTACGAGTCATAAGCAACTGCCAGTCACCACTAATACACCACCACCATCACCACCGGACTAACATCATCACCAAGGCAACTCACACTCCTCACTCATCATGGTCACCGCGAACGAGCTAACGCCGTGATTTTAAACATTTACAAGATATAAAATGTACATTTTATTTTCCAATTTCATTATTTTTATCCGCGGGCCTTCCGTCCGCTCAGAGCGCCGGCCTTGCCTAGAAATTCCTGCCGGCCAGGGGCGCGCCTTACCCAGTAGCGGCAGGCTCATCTGCCGGGCCATGCCGCGGGACAGGTCGTAGACGTACAGCTTCACGTCGTAGCTCTCCATGACGGCCGTAACTTGCGTCGTTCTTGTAAAAAACTTATCCGAAACAACGGACCGCGAATAATTCCAAAGTATTTGAAATTATTAAAGACGCGTCCAGAGACACAGAGAGTTTCACAGAGCCGACGCAGAATGCTGACGCCGAGTGACACTTCGCGAGTGACGTCACTACACACGGCGGTGCGTGTGAGCGCAGATATGCACCGCCGGATCGAAGGGGGCTAAGCGGGCGCGGCACGGGCTAGAGAAGAGATGGAGTGATGTGGTACGGGAGGACGTGGAGCTGAGTGGACTTGCCGATGACCGGTACCAGCGGTGTCGAGGTCGGCCCCTGTGGAGGAGGAGGAGGCTCGTGAAGGACGCCGCTACTTGGGCAGTTGGAGGCAGTGACCCTCCAACAACAACGGAGGGCGGAGGAGCGACGCTCACAACAACGAGCGGAGCGCCGGGTGGCTAAAGCACAGCAGGTTGGCACAGTAGGGGTTACAGGTGGTGCATCAGCCAATCGTCTCAGTCGTCTCAGTCAGTCGACCCGTGGCACCTGCTGGGTCTGCCCCGTGACCTCCTGCCAGCGGGCGTTCGACACTTCATGTGGTAGCCTCAAGGTGCACCTAGCCTGGCACAAGCATCGTGGCGACGTCACCGCCACTTAGTGGCGAATGGCGGTTGTTGTTGTTGCATCCCCCTCCCACCCCCCCACGAATAACGTCGCCGCCCCTATTCGTTGATTGGAAACTCTTCACGACTCGCCGTGGGGGGGGGGGGGGCGCGTGGTGCGGTGCATTCTTAGTAGGCGAGCTCGTTCGAAAAGTTGGATCGCGTGCGTCGGCTTCGAATCTGTCGTTGAAATCGCCACGTGCGCGTGAGCCAGAGGCACGCGCCGCTCACGGCCACCAACACCCAGTGACGATTGATCTTCACCGGTTTTGCTGGGCCTCCCCCTAGGTCGACTCGGCCTCAAATGAGTACCTGGTGCGGTGCGTAAAACACCGCCACTGGGGGAGACAAAGGCGGTCGAGCGTGGTTGGTGGCCACCCACCCCCCTTGCCTTCATAGGTACTCGCTAACAGCACTTGCCCCAACAGTCTGTTAAAGGCTACAGGGGGAGCTTTGTTTGTGTCTTTGTTTCGCATCGTACTACAAATACAACGGTGGCATTCTTTCTCGGCGGGCTCCCAAGTGATTGTATTGATTCACGAAGGGTGACATCGATAAATCGATTACCCAGCTGTAAGTTACTGGAGTCACCTACCCTGGAGTTGGTGGTCCATGCGAGCGCAGACTTTTAATCCCGAGAGAAATTGACGACTCATCGTGTTTTAAGAAGGGCCAGTGCCCGAAACGTCGCCTATTATGTACTTCTCCTTTCAAGGCCACGGTGTTATTTACGATTGTGTCGAGGGTAATTTTTTTGTAAATTGGAGACCACTGCGAATCGCAGTGTCACGAAATAAAACATCAATTATTTGTGTGTGTGTGTGTCTGGATTATTCTTGTGTGCATTCTTGTCAGGCGGGCTCGTAAGTACCTGAGATGGAGAATAATTTCTCCACTTTTCTGTTTTAATTTCTCCACTCAAGTTATGTTCTGGACATTACCTTCTGATGTAGCTGTGGATAGCCACGGCGACAGCGTAACTTCTTACCTGTACTCCTCTGGAGATGCGTGCCTCCGTGTCCACGCAATCTCGGTGTAGCGATTCATTTTTTAAACGTTTTTTTTTTACAAATTTCAATTTCTCATGAAGACCAAACAGGCCAGATGGCTCATCCCTATGGGGTAGATAAAATATGTACTAGCTTGTGGGGATATCAACCAACAGTGATTGTTTTGTGGATTGACTCAACCCCCCCCCCCCCCCACCATAGGAATGTGGAATTTCCACACTGCTGTCAATGAAGATGGTGCACTTATTATCATACTTGTTAACCCATGAAAGCCAGAATCTCAAGACCCATTTGTTCCTGCCAAGTTTTCGTAGTAGGGGGCAATGCTGCTGCTGCATGTGATCCTAATTGATTAATTGGCCGGAACTTTCTCAGCTTTTTCGCAATGTGGTTTTGGCCAACGCCAGTAACGCTGATGTGTGTGTGTGTCAAAAGAAGTTAGCTATGGGAGGAGAGAAACAGAACGTGGAGGTAAACCCGTGCAAGAATGGGATGGGGGGGGGGGGGGTGGCGGGAGAGAATAGAAACTCCACACAGTGCCGGATGAAGTTCGTGCGGGGCCTTTAGCATATGTTATAAAGGGGCCATAAATAAATAAACATTAATATTAAAACACGTATGTTTCACTTGCATAGTAAAGTAATTGTATTTTTTCATTTGCTATACAGCCAGACAATACGACAAATCGCTAACCTTAAACACCCAGTTCATAAAAGTTGAAGGCGGTATAGTACTATAGTAATAAAGCAAGTTCAGAATCACTGAAACCGGAACTGATAGCTTGAAAGCATTTAGCGCGGGGCCCTTGAAAGTGCGAGGCCCGTAGCTGCATCGCTACTTTTGCTCCTAGGATAATCCGGCACTGACTCCACACACAACAGCGACCCGGTCAGGAATCGACGAACCGAGACAACTTCTTGCACGCGAGGCACGATGAGACTAACCTTGTTAACCCGTTCACCGCAAACACATTTCACGGAGCCGCCACGATAAGCCGATGCTTAATTCATTTATTTTCTCATAATCAATAGAAGAGAAACTCAAAACACATCCCGGAAGGTACGGTAAAACAGACGTACGCAGTACAAGGCGGAATAAATAATTAAGCAGTGTGGAGAATGTTGTCGTTCATCGCGGTGACTCGTGAAACTTGACCAGAGTGACACTTGGAGAGTGCGGTGGTGGTGGGGGGGGTAGGGTTAAAGATTGGGAGCCAGGGGCTAATGGTCCAGTTGGGTAGTGCGGTTATCATATTCTTTGGGTCTTTCGGTAAAGTCACGTAGATAGGTTCAAAGAAAATAACAAAACACCACGACGTTTCGATCGCAACACAAGCGAATCGTCATCAGGAAAAGAGGGTTAGCCTCTAAAGGAAAACTGTTTATAAAGGTTTTAAATGGGCGTGGCCCAAGTGTCAGCAGCATGGGCGGGGCAGCTATCAGCCGTCCACGTGGTTGGGCGACTGGCCCTGACGAGGGAGGGAACGCGGAATGAGAAGGCCGATTGAACTGGACGAAGTGGCAATCGCCGTGGCTGAGTGACTTGAAATTTCGACCCGTGGTTAAAAACACACGGAGGCCTTAACCGGAGTGAGAGTCCCAGTGCCACTGCTGGTCCGAGTGTAAATCACATACTGGGTTGTGGTTTATTTTAATGGACTTGTCAAGTTCTTTCTTTAGCTCCAGGGCACTTGTAATGAATGACCTTTCTGCCAGAAAACCTTCTGTACCTGCCAGCAACCCCCTCCCTCCCCCGTTTTTTTTTTTTAAAGTGAGGCCGAGGGCAGTGTTTTTTGACACGAAGAACCCAAAACCCACACCTTCGCCACGTGTATGCGAGAAGAACGCATCCTTGTCGCGGGGGTTACCGCAAAACTCACAGCCCCTGCGACCCACGACAGTCGGGGGGGGGGGGGGCCTTTGCACGGTTACCAATCGTCTCCGTCCAAACACAGATTGAGGGGTCACACGCCTGACGATCGGTGCGCAGGGTCACACCGCCTCGAATTGACGACATGACACGTGCGTACAACAAAGACAAAGACAGAGGATCCCCCCTGCAGAGCCCAGGAAAGGCTGTCGGGGAAAGTACCGTTAGTGAGCACATTGTGCATGCCGGTACTGTGCAACGAGTTGGGTGGGTGGCCAGCACCACGCCTGGCCACCTTGGTCTCCCCACCGCTAAATGTTTACGCGTCACACAAGGTACTCATTTAAAGCCGAGTCGATCTAGGGGGAAGCCCAGACGTACACGTGCAAAGACAAAGAGACGCAATCTCCCATCGCAATTGCGTCCACTTGCGACACGTACACACGCACGTGTGTGTTTCGCAAGCATCAGGCGCGTGCGGCGACATTAGTTGGGGATTGGACGGAGGTGATTGGTAGATGTGGAGAGGCCAGGGCCGTCCGTGGCGGCTCTGATCGCTGGGAAGTTTGGGAACTGATGCCTTTTTAATGACGTTAGACTGCGGCGCCACACAGAGTGGAGAGCGTTAGAAAAGTAACCCCCGAAGAAAATAACGCTAAATAAGCGGTACACATCGCGCTACATCTATATGCATAAGCACACATGTATACGTGTCGAGCGTTTATAATATAGCCGGTTCAAATGTGAACCTCGTTATGTCATGCAAACTTGAGATCAACTTAAGGCCGAGACTACGATCCCCGCAGATGCGTGCCAAGAAAGGGCAGAGTCTTAGCTACGACTGTCCCACGCCCTGAACCACAACCCCTAACCCCATACCCTAGTCCTAAACCATAACCTATAACACCTAAGCCTTAACCCCATACCTAATCCTAAACCGAACCCTAGCCCTAAACCATAATATCTAAACAATAACCCTAACTCAAACCCTAACCATAACCCCTAAATCCTGCACGCTTAACTCTTAATCCCAAATACCTTACTCCTTCGCCGAAATCGTCACCCCGAATCCCAAATCACAACCCCGAGCCTCTAAACCCGAACCCTCACCACTAATCCCCGACCTCTTAACCCCTAACTCCGACATGAACCCCTATTGGAGTGGTGCCCAATAAAATCAAATAAACTGGAATCCAATCAAGTTCTGTGATCGGATACACATCCTGATTAACGAGTGCTTGAAAACTCATTTCTTTAGAAATAGCCTTTCGTGTTTAGTTTGTTGTCCTTCCCTCCGCACCTCCGATTAGCACGGTTGGCCACGTACGGTGCGAACGAAGTTCAAGGAAACACAGCACAAGACGAGAAGTCAACTAAATGTGTGGCACCCTCTCGAGACTCGGTTTGGTTTTTTTTCCCCCTCGCATCGACAGGGATCGGGGGTAGTCACCACCCACGCGCCCACGCCCTCTTAGGTTAAAGGAAAAGACGCGACTCAAAAGGGACACATACGTCTTGTCCCGCAGCTACGCACCGGTTTAAATACTCGTTCGTGACAAAGGGGGTGGGGGTGGGCAGCGGGGGGGTGGGGGGTGGCGGAAAAAGAGTGCCGTGAAAAATCGTCGTCAAGCTGCCGTGGCCGTTATGTGGGTTGCGGAACTGAAACTCGAGGTCGCGGCAGTGGTGAAAACATTTCTGGCACGTTCAAACACAAAAAGCCTCACCCCCACCGCACAACCAAGCGGTTGTGCGGTGTGGGTGAAGTGTGGCTATTCCCCGCCCCCCCCCCCCCCCCCCCCCCCCAAGGCGTATGCGTTAGCGTGGAAGAGCAAGCCAACATCCCCTCTCTCGAGGGGCACCCGGGCAAGGCGTTGTCTTTAGCGGGAGTCTCTTCAGCCAGCAGTTGCAGGGCCGCGCCTCTATCCTCGGAGAGCCCTCCAGTGACATCACCGTGGTGCGTGGCTCCTTCTGGGTCGAGTCCCCTTCCCCTCGAAGGGTTCCTCCGTTGAGAAGTTAGTTTCGATTTAAAATGTTACGACGGTAATTATAACAACACATCATAAATTAGATTATACTTTTTTCGACCTGATGGTGCCCAGGAAAAGGCAGAGGATACTCCAGGCGCTGACCAGATTTGGCAGGAGGAGGGGTTTATTTTTTCTTCAGAAGCTGACCAGGTCAAGGTGAAGAGGCCACCCTAGCCAATACCGTCGATGTCACCGCACATCGCTTCCTTCCTTCTGCCAGACGTAGCCGCCGCGAACAGTCGACATTCCATCGCCCGAGGACTGAGAGTAAAGTTCGAAGGTCAACAGAAACCACCGCCGTCCGGGCTCTCGGCTCTTCTTGTGCTCGTCGCACGCTGGGTGCGTGCCCTCTTACAGTCTCGTCGCCGGCCGCACCGCCTCTCAACTCAGTCGGTCTTCTCCCTTTGGGTTGCCACTGCATCGTGGGCAGGGGGTGGGAGGGGGGGGCGGAAATCTTTGCCCTCATCCCATCCTGCACACGTGTCCCAGCCATCACAACCTCCTCGTGCTCGTGATGATATTCCGAGCTGCCCCTATCCTGCCATCAGCATCATCATAATCGTCGTCGTTTCCAGTACTTTCTTTTGTGCCCAGGTGCGGCACGTTGGCACACCCGTTATTTCAGAGCTTTGGGTGCCCCAGTGGTCTGCTAGCGCGATTATCATTACGATTATCATCATCGCCATCGTCACTTGTATCATAAACGGTCATAAAAAAAAGGCCAGAACAGGTCCTACTTGCTGTACTTTCCTTCTTAAGGCGGCCTCGTCGCCTCCCCCGTGGGTTGGGATTCTCAGCTCGATCTACCAACCCTGCCCGCGGCCGAAGCGGGATGATGTTTAAGAGCTTCACCACGTCTCGCCCCCCCCCACCCCACCGTGCAATTAACTCCTCGCAAATTAGCGATGAACAAAGACAATTATCGAGAAACGATTACAAATCCTAGGTCGTATCTGGACAGAAATCTGTGGATGCCGCCGCGACGCCTGTTGCGTGCCGCGCCAATGACGGAGCACGCGGCTCTACATGGGGAATGGCGGAGGAGGAGGGGGGGGGGTCTAAATGTCCAAGGTCATAAGGTCAAAGCCGTTGCTGCCATCACAGCACCACCGCGCCATCGCCTCCTTCCTTTTGTCAGTGCTCGTACTTGTGTGTGTTTTTTTAGTGGACGTCTCGACCTTCAAGGACTGCTTTTGCATTCGCATCATCAAGGCCACCAAAATAACTGGCTTCAGGTCTTGCCCCGTGGTCCTGCATGTGTGCGCGTGCGTCACTGCAATGGCCCGGTGTGTGCGCGCGTGTGTCACTGCAATTGTCCGGTGTGTGTGTCACTGCAATAGTCCGGTGTGTGTGTCACTGCAATAGTCCGGTGTGTGTGCGCGTGTGTCACTGTAATTGTCCGGTGTGTGTGTCACTGCAATAGTCCGGTGTGTGTGCGCGTGTGTCACTGCAATGGTCCGGTGTGTGTGCGCGTGTGTCACTGCAATGGTCCGGTGTGTGTGTCACTGCAATAGTCCGGTGTGTGTGTCACTGCAATAGTCCGGTGTGTGTGCGCGTGTGTCACTGTAATTGTCCGGTGTGTGTGTCACTGCAATAGTCCGGTGTGTGTGCGCGTGTGTCACTGCAATGGTCCGGTGTGTGTGCGCGTGTGTCACTGCAGTGGTCCGGTGTGTATGCGCGTGTGTCACTGCAATGGTCCGGTGTGTGTGCGCGTGTGTCACTGCAGTGGTCCGGTGTGTGTGTGTGTCACTGCAATGGTTTGGTGTGTGTGTGTCACTGCAGTGTGTGTCACTGCAATGGTCCTCTGTGTGTGTGTCGCTACAATGAGCCTGTGTGTATGTGTGTCACTCCACTGGTACTGTGCGTGTGTGCGTGTGCGTCACTCCCATAGTGAGGAGCGGTGGTGTAGCGATTAGCGCGCTGCGCTACGAACCCGGCTACCCGGGCTAGGTACCCGCTCACGGCCAACACCAGCCACGAATATCTGAACCGGTCCTGGTGCTCACCTAGATTGACTCAGCCTCAAATGAGTACCTGGTGCGGTGTGTAATAAACATCGCCACTGGGGAGACAAAGGCGGCCGGGCGTGCTGCTGGCCACCCACCCCCTCGTGTGCCGTGTCCAGCCCCTATATGTGCTCGCTACCAGCACTTGCCCCAACAGCCGGTTTAAGCTATATGGGGGATCTTTGTCTTTTTGTCACTCCCATGCAGGCCCTCGGAGCGGCTTCAACAACAGCGGTAGCAGTTCTTTAGCCACTCCTCCGTTGCATGAACCCGTGCGGCCGCCTCCGTCGCCGATGGAGAATGAAAGGCGAACCCACGGACGCGACTGCCAATCATCATTCTCAAGCACTGCCCACTTCCACCAATCGCCTACGTGTCTCCACGCGACTTTATGGGGGGGGGGGGGGTCTCTGAGTCTATGGGTCTCTGTGCGTCTATGGGTCTCTTCTAGGTGAGCATTACGAGTCTCTTTTGTTAGCCTACGGGTCTTTGTGTCCACGGGTCTGCGCGAGTCTCTGCCGTCTCTGCGTGAGTCTACACGCGTCCGCGTTGCCTGCAAGCCTCTGGACCATTCGTGTGAATCGACGTCTCAAACCGCGGCCCACGCAGTAACGGCGCTCGCCGCTGAGACCATTCGCTCTCGAGGTCGCCCCCTCTGCAACTCGCTTGGCTCTACGTGTGCGTCTCTTGGCGCGCTCACAGTGAGCGAGTCTGTGGGACTCTCAGTGGGAGTCAGGGAAACTCCAAAAGTTAAGCCGATCGTTCGCTGGCAGCGTTTTGCAGACAGTCACCGGGCTACTCCTGGCTCCGTCCACTGGCTCATCCGCAAACAACCACGTGGTTAACTGTTGCCCCTTCGCCTCTCCTCGTCACGGGAAAGACGACAACAGCCCACGTGTTGACGTGGGAATTCGGGATATCGTCAGCATCAAGTGCATTCATTAGAAAGCTATTCAACGTGTTTCGGGAGCGGTGGTGTAGTGATTGGTGCACTGCCCCCAGCCGGGTTCGATTCTCGCTCACGGCCAACATCAGTGACGAATAGCTCACCTGGTCGTGCGCTCCCTCTAGGTCGACTCAGCCTCAAATCAGTGCCTCGTGTGGTGTGTAAACATCACTACTGGGGTGACAAAGGCGTCCGGGCGTGGTGCTAGCAACACCACCCCCTTCGTGTCCAGCGTACAAGTGCTTGCTAATTAGCACTTGCCCCAACAGTCTGTTATGGCTATACTGGAGTTGGATGGGGCTGGGTCTTTGTGTCGAGCGGTGGCGCAGTGGTTAGCGCACAGCGCTGAGAAAGCCGACGGCTGAAGTTCGATTCCTGGTCCACGGCTAACACCAGCGAAATAATATCGGAAGCAGTGGGGGGCCTCCCCTGGGTCGATTTAGCCTTAAATGAGTACCTCATGCGCTGTGTAAACATCGGCACTGGGGATGCAAAGGTGGCCGGACGTGGTTGCTAGCCGTTTCAGCCTTAATAGGCACTCGCTAACAGCACTATGCCGGTCATACCGATACATTGGGGATCTCTCGAGTGCCGTACCGGCCTTCACAGGTGCTCGCTAACAGCACTTGGCCCCCCAACAGTCTCAAAGTGCACCTAGCCTGGCACAAGCGTCGTGGCCACGTCACCGACGCTCAGTGGCGTATGGCGGCTGGTGTTGTTGGTTGGTTGTGTGGACACACACAATCCAGTGCATTAAGTGAGCCTCCGTTGAGTTAGGAGATCGTTAGAACTGTGCACGTGGCGACCGTTGACAAAAAAAATAAAAATGGGAAGACGGGGGCGTTTACGCACAGTACGGACACGGGGACGTGGAGATAGTACAGGAACTGACACAATTACTTGAGCCCCAGTCCCCTGACGCAGACCCCTCCCAGCGGCCGCCCTGGGTTTCAACACTGCGGGTCCACTGACCGCGTCTCGCCACGCGCCGACTGCTTTGGAACGAAATGTATAAGTAGGCCAACTGCATGGGGCTCTCGAGTCGTGAGTTCTTTTGCTGGGATGAAACTCACGTACGCCGCCTGCTGGCTGGAGGCGATACCAGCCTGCGAAACGCAGCGACTTCGCGAGAGCCTCCGGCGATAATAACGACGCGAATACCAACCGTGTAGTGATGATTTGAATTGATGATTTAATTTCCCCGGGCATAGCGCGCAGCTGCTTTCCCCCTCCTCCTCATCCTCCCAGTGTGGCCTCCCCGGGCCAATCATACCCGCCCCCAGGCCCTGTGGTCAGACTCTCCCGTAGGTCGACTCAGACTGAAATACTATGACGAGCACCGGTTGCTGGAGGGGTGGATAGACGTCAAACCCGGCTGCACGATCTGATTCCCAAAATTAATTGGTTCAGATTGAACGCCCCCCACCCCGGCCCCCCCACCTCTGCCAAATGCCCCTAACCATTAGCACACGGACCTGCCCGTCTGTCCAACTCTGCATGGGGAGTGAGCGCGTCTGCCTGCGTTCATTAATTCCGAGCGGGAGCTGGTTAGCGTAGGAGTAGAGTACAACAATGGATTTTGCCACACTGCCCTCTCGCTGTCCCCCCCACATCCCGCAGTCTAGAGCCTATAGCACCTCTTGAGCACGCGGCGGTCGCCCATCCTATCACTGTCCTGGTGCAAGCCAGCTTAGCTTTCGAGATGGGCTGTCCTCCGCGCTGTTTGGTCAGAGGCAGGAGGCCTCTTTGTTTGCTGTAGCGCCTGAAATCAAGCTGACGCTGGGTCACGGGGAGATCGGGTCATGTCAGGTCAGGTCAAACCGGGTCGGGTCAGCTGCGGTCAGGTTAGGTCAATTTAAGGTCAGATCTTGGTCAGGTCAGGTCAGACAAAGTAAGATAAGGCCAGGGTCGGGTCAGGTCAGACTGGCTTGCGTCAGCTCAGCTGACCTCAACTCAAGTCAGATCAGACCAAGTTCGCTCAGGTCAACTTAGAGGCTATGCTGGGTCGGGTCAGAAAAGATTGGGTTGGATCAGTCGGGTCAGCTGGGCGTGGAGTGGGGGCAGGGTCAGGTCGTGTCAGTCTGGGTCGAGTCAGGTGGGTGTGGAGTGGGGGCAGGGTCAGGTTAGTCTGGGTCGGGTCAGCTGGGGGTGAAGTGAGGGCAGGGTTGGGTCGTGTCAGTCTGGGTCTGGTCAGCTGGGTGTGGAGTAGGGGCAGGGTCAGGTTAGTCTGGGTCGGGTCAGCTGGTGGTGGAGTGGGGGCAGGGTTGGGTTCGTCTGGGACGGGTCAGCTGGTGGTGGAGTGGGGGCAGGGTTGGGTTCGTCTGGGACGAGTCAGCTGGGTGGTGGAGTGGGGGCAGGGTCGGGTCGGGTGACTCCGGGTGGGCCCGCCTCGGGCCGTGTGGGGGCCCGGCCCTTGGCCTAGAGCAGGACGCATTTGCCCTTCTCCACCCACGGGTTGCTCTTCATGAGCTCTGGGTTCAGGAAGGGGTCATTGGACATCCCCTCCTCGATCCACTTCACCATCCTGCGCGCAGCGGGCAACACGGCAACAGGAAACTTGTATCGGGCAACGCGCAACTTGTATCAGGCAATATTTAGCGTGTATCAGACAACAACAACAACATCACCACTCTAGTGTGGCCTTAAAGGGGGAATAATATATCATAGGCAACGTTTCGAGCAATGAGACTTCTTTCATATTCTATGAAAAAGGATCATTGCCTGAAACGTCACCGAGTATATTTTTGTATATAATTTTGTACACATACAGCAGAACCCCTCTTCACCACCACCCCCGTTAACGACTCACGACGGCGCCTCCACAGAGCCCAATGTAGTGTAGTGAATAGTGTAGTGTATAGTGTAGTGTATAGTAGTGTATAGTGTAGTGTATAATAGTGTAGTGTTCAGTAGTGCAGTGTATAATAGTGTAGTGTATAGTAGTGAAGTGTATAATAGTGTAGTGTTTAGTAGTGTATTGTATAATAGTGTAGTGTTTAGTAGTGTAGTGTTTAGTAGTGTAGTGCCCCCATACAGCCCAATGCGTTCGCTTACCGACCATACAAATGAATGCATCGATTAGCCCGTTTTTTTATACAATGTGTTTTTAATGTTATCGGTATCTCTTGTGTATTAATATCCATTGTTAAAATATTATAAAGTACGTTTTTTTTGGGATGAAAAGCGGGTAACTTTCGATGCTATCGGAACGAATGATGCCTTTAACGTGCATTTCTTATACTCGCTTAAAAACCCAAAAAGTTAAAGACCGGTTTCGTGGAACCAATCACAGTCGTTAAGAGGAGTTCTTCTGCAATTATATTATTGGGTGTAAATTCTGACTTAAAGCTTTCGTGACTGCAGGAATTCATATTCTTTGGGTTTTTTGGTAAAGTCACGACGTTTCGATGACGACCGCTTGCGTTTTTTGTTTGTTATTTTATTCGAACCTATCTACGTGACTTTACCGAAAGACCCAAAGAATAATACGTGTAAATTTCGATTTAAAGCCTTCGTGACTGCAAGGATTCATCTTCTTTGGTTCTTTCGGTAAAGTCACGTAGAATGAGAATAAAATAATAAAATAACACAATAAAATTCTCACGACGTTTCGGCCACAACACAATAAAATTCTCACGACGTTTCGGCCACAACGCAGACGGCCGCTTGCGTTGTGGCCAAAACGTCGTGAGAATTTTATTGTCTTATTTTATTATTTTATTCTCATTCTACGTGACCTTACCGAAAGAACCAAAGAAGGAAGAATAATAAGTGTTTTATAACACAGGGTGCAAGACCCACCCCCACCCCAATCGTTCGCCCCGCCCCCAATCGATCGCCACGCCCCCCTGACGGTCGTCCCGCCCCCTCAGGTCGCCCGGCACCCTCGGTCGCCCCGCCCCCCTCGGTCGCCCCGCCCCTCACGGTCACCCCGCCCTCTCCTCGGTCGCTCCGCCCCCGTCCGGTCGCCCCGCCCCCGACGGTCGTCCCACGCAACACCGCGGCGCTGTCCGCGGTGCTGAACCCCTGCGGGTTAGGGGACCCGTGACGTCCTTACCACCACACGGAGGTCTGTCTCGTTTGTGGTGTCTGTCTCCTTTGTATTGTCTGTCTTGATTGTATTGTCTGTCTCGTTTCCATTGTCTCTCTAGTTTGTATTGTAGTGTTGTCTTATGTCTAGGTTTTATTGTTTCCTTTGCCCTGTTTGCAAACTACGTACAGCCCGTTTTGCCAATGCACTGCTGGATGAGGGTCTCCCCACACCGTACGTCTCGCGGGGGCCACCCTGACCATACTTCACCACGCTGGTCAGTGCGGGGTTGATGAGCATTTCCATCCCCCCCCCTACCCCCCCCCCCCCCCATTGTTGATGACGAAGACACCGGCTACGTTTTATTACGTTGAAACAAATCTGTCGGGGAAATAAACTCAAAATATTCTATATTATATATTTTATATTTACGTGATCTAACGCCCCACAAAAACCTATATTATTTAAAAAAAATTCGCCAAGAAAAGCTGAGAGAATCTGTCTCGGGATTGGAACGGAACTCGGGCGCGAGTGTGTGATACCACGAGTGTGTGATACCACGAGTGTGTGATACCATGAGTGTGTGATACCACGAGTGTGAGATACCACGAGTGTGTGATGCTACGAGTGTGTGATACCATGAGTGTGTGATACCACGAGTGTGTGATACCACGAGTGTGTGATACCACGCGGTCCTTCAAGGACTCCACTTACTCGGGGATGGTTTTTGATGTCTTCTCTCGCCGGTTCGAGAGCTGGAATTTGAGGCTCTCGATCTCCTTCCGTAGCTGCGACACGTCCACCTCGTCCATGATGGCTTTGTGTGGGGCGGGGGGGGGGGGGTCACGGTCGAGGCGTGCGTGCGGTCACGGTACAGCCGCGGGTCAACGGCGGAGGCGTCGTCTGTCGCGGCGCCGAGGCGAGCTCACGGCTGAGTTACAGGCGCGCGGTGGCTTGGTCCGTCACGGTGGAGGTGCCGTCACGGCTGGAGCTGTCGCGGCCGTTGACGTAGAGTCGCGGTAGTAGCCGTAGTCGCGTGGAAGCGCCGTGACTGTTGTGGCGTCTGGGCCGTCACGATTCCGGCGTTTGTCCTTTGGAGGCTTCTGGACACAATCCAGCTCTGCTGGAGACAAAGACAAAGATCCCCCGTGTAGCCTTAACAGACTGTAGGGAAAAGTGCTGTTAGCGAGTAGCACCAATGAAGGCCGGGACGGCATACGAGGGGGTGGGTGGCCAACACCACGCCGGGCCGCCTTTGTCTCCCCAGTGGCGATGTTTACACACCGTACCAGGTACTCATTTGAGGCTGATTCGACCTAGGGGAGGCCCAGGACCGGTTCGGATAATCGTCACCGGTGTTGGCCGTGAGCGGGAATCGAACTCGAGTCGCCGGGATCGTAGTGCTAACCGCTACCCCACCGCTCCCCACCATCTCTGCTCGAGACACAGGTAGACGGACAGCCCTTGCGGAACGAGCGACGCACAGACAGACAGACAGATCGGGGTCGATGGGTCAAAATCACTCGGAACGCGCTCGATCTCGGCAGCGAAGCACTCTGCACGCCCTTCCCCCGCAACCACCGATGATCACGGTTGGCCACGCACCGTGCCCGAACTGACTTCCACACGCGACGCATAACCGCACGTCACGCGGCGCCGAGTGAGTGTAGCAAGGTCGTAGCCATGGAGTCAACATTGGGGGGGGGAGGGAGCAAATCTTCCAGGGGGTCTGGGGGTCTCCCCCCGGAAAAAAAATCTAAATTTGAAAACGAATTTCCTTCCATTTCCTGCCTAATATATGTAGTAATAAAATCACTAACACATAGGATGGACTTTTTTTTTTTACAATAATGTCTAATAGTGTATTGTATTACATTGCTCTGTTTTTACTTTTTTTACCTTTTCTTGTTTCATTGTATGTAATGGCAGAGATTAGGGATTAACAAAATACAACCATAACCACAATCATATAAACAGAAATCTATTTTACAGCAATATATTGGTGGGGGGGGGGGATATTTTTAGCATATTATAATTACGGCCTTGGTGTGTAGCGTTCGGAACGCGCGACCGCCACGCAGAGTCGCCACGCACAGTCCGGTTGCAACAGGCGACTGCAGAGGCTGCGTAGAGTACGGCCAAGCGGCGGTGCAACGTCCGACGTCTCTGCTCGCCGACCTTCACCGACCCGCATTGAGCAGCGGTTCGACAAAAAGGGGGTTTGCGCGTTCATGTGGATCGAGACAAATGAGCGGTCAGCAAAGCGGGGTAAACTGTGGTGCCCTTGGTCAGAAGGTAACACGTAGAGTGTTTACATGCACGTGCACACCACTCTACTATAATGGGCTAATCACATCGTCGTGATTCATTTGATTCAAGATTAAGCGTCTATTTGAAATCCGAAAAGGCACGGGCATCAATAACGTCGCGTTATTGTTGCGGCCCTTTTATCATTCCACTGCTGATGAAGGCCTCCCCACTCGTTTCAGTCGTGGGGGGGGGGGGGAGGGGGTTGTATGACCATACTTCACCGCGCTGGTCAGTGCCCGTTTGTGAAATGGGTCTGGCCCAGGACCTGTTCGGATCTCGATCGCCACTGCTGTTGGCCTTTGCAGTGCGTCAAACACAGCGCCACCGCTCCATATTAACCATCATGCAATTCATTGTAATTAATTATAAATAAACGCTGAAATAAATATTAAATGCTTGTTCTGATGGCGTCTGACTTCAAACAGTGACGGTTAGATTATACCTTTGCAGACCTTATGTAACATCGTTTTGTACAGTAACGTTGCTATTTTTGTATAGAAATTACATGTTAGAGGGGCCTGTTTCCTTGCTAATTTGGCTGCTTCGTGATGTTCATAATGAGCGCGCGGGTCTCAGATAATCGCACGCCGCCACGCACATTCACTCGCTGTCATAGACAAAGATCCCCGTACAGCCTTGCAGTGCAGACTAAACCCACATGTAGTAGCTATTACTCATGTAGTAGCTACTACACATGTAGTAGCTACTACATATGCAAGGCTGTATAACGGACCATACTTCACTACATATGTAGTAGCTACATATGTAGTAGTAGCTACATATGTAGTAGCTACCACTAGATATGTAGTAGCTACCACTACATATGTAGTAGCTACCACTATATATGTAGTAGCTACTACATGTGTAGTAGCTACGGGCTCCGCACTTCCAAGGGTCCCGCGCTAAATGCTTTCAAGCTATCAATTCCGGTTCAGTGATTCTGAACTTGCTCTAAATCTATAGTACTCTACCGCCTTAAACTTTTATGAACGACTGGGTGTTTAAGGTGAGCGATTTGTCGTATTATTTGGCTGTATATAAAATGAAAAAATACATTTACTTTACTATGCAAGTTAAACATTTGTGTGTGTTTATTTATTTATTTTAGGGCTCCTTTATAACAAATGCTACAGGCCCCGCACTAGCTTCATCCGGCACTGGGGTGTAGACATACACGACGCCCGGCCGCCTTTGTCTACCCAGTGACGATGTTCACAGGCCGCACCAGGTACTCATTTTAGACTGAGTCGACCTAGGGGAGGAGACCCAAGACCGGTTCAGATAATCATCACTGGTGTTGGCCGCGAGCAGGACTCGAACTCGGGTGGTGGGGTTAATGGCACAGCGCGCTAACCACTGCACTATCGCTCCCCACACAAAGACAAAGATCACCCGTATAGTCTTAACAAATCGATAGGAGCAGTCCCACCCACACAAAGTCTTTCACACACACACACAGTCTTTGTGTGCCACACAAATATCCCTCGTGTAGCCTTAACAGACTGTAGGGGCAAGCGCTGTTAGCGAGCACCTATAAAGGCCGGCACGGTACACGAGGGGGTGGGTGACCAACACCACGCCCGACCGCCTTTGTCTCCCTAGTGGCGATGTTTTACGCACCGCACCAGATACTCATTTGAGGCTGTGTCGACCTAGGGGAGGCCCTGGACCGATTCAGATAATTGTCACTGGTGTTTGCCGTGAGCGGGAATCGAACTCGAGTCCCCAGGTTCGTAGCGCAGCGCGCTAACACTGCTACACACTACAGAGAGACAGACACGCATTGAAAGTGGACAGATGCCAGGCCAGACAAGCCGTGCACAAAACCAGACGCACACGGAGGAAACGAGATTAGGGCGAGCCGCGTTCTTGTCCGTATCCCGCGCCTCTCGATCCTGACCGCGGGTGCTCTCGCAGCTGATGGATTTGTGAGTTTTCCGCGTTGCTCCGGGTGCTCGTAATGGCCCGTGTCTGAGCGTTGCCGTGTTTCTTTCTTTCTTTTGGATGGGGAAACCGGGGAGATGATGAAAGAAACACATTGAGAGGCGCGACACAGCAGTGCCCCCCTTTGCAACGGCGACCTGGGCTACAATCGAGAACGATTTAAAGAACACACCACAGTGATATTTTGCGAACGCGCGTTTTGCACGCGTAACGGACCGATCCAAATCAGCTCGTGCGTCCGTTAAGTCACGTGGCTTCTGTGTGCGGCCCCTCCCACATTTCCCACCGCCGCCCCCTTTGAAAACAGACCTCACCTCACCACTCACCCTCCTACATCAAATACTACTCACCCTCACCACTAACCCTCACTACTAACCCTCCTACATCAAATACTACTCACCACTCACCCTCACCACTAACCCTCCTACATAAAATACTACTCACCACTCACCTTCACACACCACTCACCCTCACACACCACTCACCCTCACCACTCACCCTCACACACCACTCACCCTCACCACTCACCCTCAACACTCACACCCCACTCACCCTCACACACCACTCACCCTCACTCACCACTCACCCTTACACACCACTCACCCTCACACACCACTCACCCTCACTCACCACTCACCCTGACTCACCCTCACACACCACTCACCTTCACTCACCACTCACCCTCACACACCACTCCCCCTCACTCACCCTCACACACCACTCACCCTCACCACTCACCCTCACTCAACACTCACCCTCACTCAACACTCACCACTCACCCTCACACACCACTTACCCTCACACACCACTCACCCTCACACACCACTCACCCTCACTCACCCTCACACACCACTCACCCTCACACACCACTCACCCTCACACACCACTCACCCTCACACACCACTCACCCTCACACACTACTCACCCTCACTCACCACTCACCCTCACTCACCACTCACCCTCACACCCCACTCACCACTCACCCTCACCACTCACCCTCACTCACCACTCACCCTCACTCACTCACCACTTACCCTCACACCCCACTCACCCTCACACCCCACTCACCACTCACCCTCACCACTCACCCTCACACACCACTCACCCTCACACACCACTCACCCTCACCACTCACCCTCACTCACCCTCACTCAACACTCACCACTCACCCTCACCACTCACTCACCACTCACCATCGCACACCACTCACCATCGCATACCGTTTAACCACTCAACACATAACGTTACGCACGAATGCAAATAGCGGGGGGGGGGCGTCTTTGTTTTTAACATGAACACGGATGTTTACGGGGGGCAACCCAACCCCCTTGAATCATTCCCGTTATGTCAAGGGCAGGTTGCAGTTAGTGAGGTCATCGCTAAGGGATGGGGGGTGGGAGCACGGATACAGGGGGGGGGGGGGGGGGGGGGGGCTGAGAGAGGATGGATTTATGGGTAGGGGCTCTAAGAGGTAGGGGCGGGGGGTGGCCGCGCGCGTGCACACGAACACACGTGCACGCGCAATCAATGAAGGCAGCGTAGGGGCTTTGATAGAACTCGATTCCAGTAGCCTAGAGGCAACACGTGACTGATAATGTATGATTTATATTTGCAGACAAAGGTCCCTCCTATAGCCTTAACAGACTGTAGGGGCAAGTGCTGTTAGCGAGCAGCACCTATGAAGGCCGGAACGTCACACGAGGAGATGGGTGGCCAGCACCACGCCCGGCCGCCTTTGTCTTCCCAGTTTGCGATGTTTGCACACCGCAGAAGGCACTCGTTTGAGGCTGAGTCGACCTAGAGAAGGCCCAGGACCGGTTCATATAATCGTCACCGATGTTGGCCGTGAGCGTTAATCAAACTCGG